TTACCAACAGATGTTAACTCGCCCTCGATAGATCAACTGGTCACACTTCATGGATTATGCTGGTCAGACTATTTTAGTTCTGATGCCAGAGGATCTTACGCCTCACAGATCACTCGTCGGATGGAGACGACACAGAGGTGGCCTTGGCTCCTTGACTTGGCAGCAGAGCATGGGTGGATTTATCAGTTAACTCAGTCACGTTGGTAACTGCCGTCTCCCCGGATGGGAATGAGACAATCAAGTCGTCCTGACAGATACGGTTATGTAACGCAGCCGATGGCACCCTTTCATCAAAGCTATTGCATCCACTACGTAGCTCTGCCACTCGCCACCATGTCAGACAAACAGAACTATTTGAGGTCCATGAACTGGATCATCATCTTCAACACTTCGCTTTCATCCTCTTATTCTCCTTATGTTTGGTGAGTGAATAGGCGCAGCTGGAACCACCGAATCTCGTACACGGTTTTCGGTTAAAGAACTGTACTGCACCGAACTCCCTGCACAGGCCAGCAACCACTACGTTTTATGGGTGACAGATAGACCGCCACTCATCCTTTTGATCTTCCTATTAAACCCACATTTTGAACCATAAGATATCGAATCTCGTGGTTTTCGGTTAAAGAACTGTACTGCACCGAACTCCCTGCACAGGCCAGCAACCACTACGTTTTATGGGTGACAGATAGACCGCCACTCATCCTTTTGATCTTGCTATTAAACCCACATTTTGAACCATAAGATATTTTTCTGTACCAAGCATCACAACAAATTATGCTGAACATCGAGTTGGATGGCAATTGTTTTTTGACCGTCGGTTTCCAGGTTTTGATGGGATGTGCTAGTTGTGAATCATGCTGGATTTCAAGACGGGGTAGTAGAACACCGTTGCAATGATTTTATTAGACCCGGAAGGAAAAAGTTGTTCATAATGGAAGGTAGTTGAAGCATTTGTATTGCTCATCACTACTAGGGAGAATCACCTAGGGGAAAATAACTGTGTGCGCTCTCTATTGGATAAAAAACTCAGTAGCACTCAAGTCCCAAGTAGCCAAAACTGGATTACAAGTGTTTCATCCTGTTACTTTCGGCATCCTCCGTCTAGTCTTTTATTTTCCATGCAGTGGGTCGTGTATTTCTCTCAGTTATACAAAATCTGTCGATAGGTTGTCTACTTCCTAGATTTTTGAATCATGCGCTTCCAGATAGTCCATTTTCCCAGCATTTTGGGCTTTGATGGAGCCTAGTTACTCCAGTTTACATTCTCTAACCTTTCTATGACTATCTTCAGCCCGGTTAGGACAGTATTCAGTGCAATAAGAATCTGTATCCATGAAGTTTGTACTGCATCTTCTGGCTCTTGGAACTCAGTTTCTCATGACGCAATGGTTTTTGGCTTCCGTTTGCAGAGAGCCTGTCACAAGCACTATGAAACTGGTCGTGAAAATAAACACCAATATTTTGCAAGACAATCGATTTCATTTTTTCTAAAACACATTTGACCAGATTGGACCTGAAAATGAATTTATGCTAGGATTTGTGATCTATGGAGCACATAAGTGCATTTTTTCATGTAGAATGAATCCAGTTACTGGGGCTGCTCGATATGGAGCTATCGATTGACGTTTGCAACAGACGCGCCGTAATGGGGTCCAACTGTAACACCCTTTCGGTGCCATGCCACCCGGAGGAAGCAAGAGGGTTCAAGCCCATACATTAGCCGTCGATATGCTATGTCGGTTTCGAACTACAGACCTTCCGGTCAGTAAGTTCGTGCTGTTCAAGCTGTGTTGAGCTCAGATGAGTAGTAAGATTGGAAAGCATTCTTTTACTTTAATTATGAAGAAATGCTCGCTGACTGTGATGACGCACGTTTTTTCTTGTTGAGAGTAACTGAAATCCGCAGTTGCAGTAGTAATACAACAGCTACAAAAGCCAAATCAATAAGCGCAACAGTTTCCCTTATCCTCGCATAAATAGAATGCGACAAATTTTCTTTCACTCCAAAGACTTCTGATACTATGAGCTATGTAGCTTCCATTAGATACCGGAAAGCGATCTGCTCTACTTTTTAATTAACCCTGTGTGGAAATGGTTTGTATCAAGCCTGAATTGAGTTACTGTTCTTTTCTGGAAGAATAAATACCACCTAGTAGTCCAAATCATCTGCTATGTATTGGGGGAAATTTTTGGACATATGAAACCCCTAGATGAAAAGTCTCCCGATCTTGATGGAGGGGTAGGTTTCAGGAAAAACAAAGTGAAAATTTTGAAATCAAACCAACCATCTGCACTATATAAACTATGAAAACTGCAGACGATTTTAGTTTTTCACTTGTCTGACCGCTTTACCTTCACGTGATTGGACGCAGTGACAGCGGAAACCATGGCACTATCAAGATTTTGAAAACACGTCTCAATTCGTACCGATACCCAAATAAATCTCCAACAAATGGTTCGGTGACCAACAAATCCTATGTAAGGATCAGTATTTACGATAAAGTACCTGACTAATGCCCAGTGAAAATTCAGTACATTAGTAGCTTTCATCATAGAGATAATCGTGCACGGTTTGTCGACCAGTGCGAAAAAAACTAAGGGCAGCTGCTCCATTATCATTGGGACCGAATGTCGCCGCGCATCCTACGCATTTGGATGGGGTCTAGGGCCGTCTAACCACTAGATATGTTCTAATCAATCTTCAAGATACGGGTCGCTGATTGACAGCGACGGTGTTGACTCAAAGCACGCTACTGGTTCTATATTAGCAGGGTTGACTTCAACGAAGTAATATGTGTTCATATCGTATATGTGGTTCGAATCGCCTTCGATATTAGCGAAATGAAGCACTTATAGTTTATCACTGTTTCATGTCACAAGTTCAGTTAGCTTCCAGGTGTAATCTATGATCCCAGATCTTCTCACTGGTTATAAAATGTAACCTCAAAGTTGTTTATAGCATACTTCAATTTCCATGGCCCCGCACGACTTTCAGTAGGTTAATCACCACTGCGAAATTCACGCATTATAGATAACATCTGTTTCTGACCAGAAAGCTGCTCATTTTTCAGGGTGTTAATATAGATTGACGTTTCGTCCCCTTGGGCTGAATCCCAAATTTTTGCTTATAAATTGGATGTTCCACCGAACTGATAGTCTGCGAACTTTTTTCAACACAATACAAATCTGACAGGTGTTCTCATCATCTTCGCAGAAAAACCGCCTTTTTAAAAAAATTCAGCTTCACCAACTCCCTTCTTGGAGCTATGTAACACGGGAACCAATTTGCCCAGTGATTGAAAAGGCTGTTTACTTGACTTGTGCATTTCCAACGCAACGCAAGAAATCGATTGCCTGCCAAACAAAATCGAAAAAAATTGTTGAAGAGCGAGCAGCACAAACGCAGTACAATATTTTTGCCCCAGAGAATCATCTGTGTCAACGTAATTTGATCAAGCTCGAAATATATGCATTCACTCACCGGTTCGGACTAGGTCGCTTGCTGTAGATCAGACGAGCAGCATCGTGCACATATGGGATCCGGTCTATCCTACCAAACTGTTTGGTGGTGCTTCTCTGCTGAGCGTCATTCAAAAGCAGTGCAAACTTCATTTGAGAATACATTGATCCTGCTATAACTCCCGCGTTACAACTACTCACACATGGGAGGGCAACTATATCAACGCTACCCCGCCTTGTGTTTTCAAATCACTCTACCTATCCTGCCACATGAATGTTGCTCACATTTAATCATGCAGCTTACTGTGTATTATCATAAAACCATTATCACAGTCCATTGCCTAATTTCATATGAGAAGATATTTCTTGGTTGGTATGCAATTTATCTGATGGATAAACTTCAGTTAGCTATAGCGGACGTGATGGTCACGATTGAGCCCTACTTCGGAACATTAATCATTTGGATACTTGCTGCCTAACTGGCCAGTTCATTTCTCTCTCTCTCTCTCTCTCTCTATCTGTCTCTCGGATATTTGATTTTCTGGATGGCCTGCACGTCAATAGGAACCGTTACCTCTTTGAAACGTGTCAGGAATAGTGACCAGACCTGTGCGTGACTGACAACGGCCAGATAATAAACCGTGAGCGGGGAGAAAGGAAACATAAATACATTGAAGAATGTGCGGAAGAAATCTCTGCACGGTTTATTATATTATATACAGAGCACAGTCTTTTGATGACAGACAATCAAGGATATGGGATACCCTGAACTGTGCTGATCTTTTGCACTCACTTTCTACTGCCACCACGCCCCTTCTAGTGCGCAACATGATGTTTCGTGCGTTCTGTGTGTACTCAATCCCAGCTGAGAAAACTCAGTGAGTGGCCTGTGCTTGTATATGTCAAGGACTTAAATATTCTTCGTCAGATGGGTGCGAAGAGAATCGACAACCAGGAGTGACCTTGGTGTTTCACAGACTGTGCCTGAGTAAAGGGGGACCGCTGTGAGCTCCGCAAGACGTACGGCTCAACGTTGAACCCACCTACTTTGAGCCACATGACAAATTCCTTTAATGTGCTGGTGCATTTCCTCTGAATCCAGTACAATGATCCTGCTTAATTATGGGTATCCTGGATTGCATTTTCTACAATACCGCTACTGGCCTAATGTCACCAGGAAGCCACTTGAATGTTACTGGTTTGCTTCGGACGCATTTTCTTGTTCGTCGATTGACCTTTTTCAGCTGACACTGCATTCATGGAAGATGCCATAGACCACGCGTTTGAAGCGGTGTTATTCAGCTGTTTTATGAGTTCCACAAATCCACCCGACTTTTGTTGGGAACTAAGTGCGTGTCACAATTTCGTGTTGGAAGCACATTCCTTTGTGAAGCGTCTGTCTGTGTAGACATTATACTATTGCTCATTGCCTCTCTATCTCTTGTACTTATTTCCACTCGTCGTTTGCCGACTAAACTTTATCATCACTTTCCTTTCCATTTTTCTGGTTCTCAAGGAGGACACTGTGAATTCCCAGAACTACAAACGACACGGCCGTTGGACCCAGGGCATTCTCTCAGCAGCGAAATCTGTTGGGGCCTGCGCTAATGTTCTTGTGTAAGTGTTCGCATGGAGTGATAGATTCATTTAAAAAAGTTGCTCCTGATCTATTGAAGCCGAAGGGGCGCGTAAAAGAACAGTAGACGCTAATTTTTTAATCTTGTTGAACGTTACGGAGCACATTGAAACTCAAATGAGTGTCATCAGCATTAGTTGATGAATCTCGTCGAACGTATCTGGTTTTCCGTGCTCATCAATTCGATCGCCAGATCAGATGGTTGGCTTCGCAAATTCTAGTCGGTGACTTTGCTATACTTATCATCGAATACAATACCGGAATCGATATCTAGTGCTGACGTCAACTAGCCTACGCCAGCTACGGCAAGCATCTGGGAGTCGTTCCAGCGTCAGGCGACCATGCTGAAATATCATCAGGCCACGTACGCTTCGAGCACACATCCAGTAGGAATAGTTATCGCTATTAGTCGCTTGGTTCGGTCAGGTGAGCGAGTTTTACTTGATAAGGTAAAGTTTTCGGTACGCATTCAATTGGCCTCGTTAATGGGCAGCCAGTGGCTGCAGCCACAGTGCAGTGATGCAGCGCGTAATACAGTCGAACGATCAATAACAAAAACATTGTGGCGACATACCTACAGTCACAATATGGCGCACTGAATCATATGAGCTATGTAACCGACCAAGGTGGTGCATAACGGATATCGAGACAGTGGCAGTTTAACGGGAGATACAGCAATAAAGCCGTCTGCGCAAGCCCGTAAGTAGCGAAGGTTAGGGTGTTGTCAAAATATTGCTGAGTTAACGAGGATATATTATTTAATCGTTCAGTCTCTCAGGTACGTGCGATACTGAACCTTTATCCTTTTGTCATCATCTTGCCCGAAAGCGGAGTCAGCTGTACACTGGGCTTTTTCAGCGGCCTCAAAAATACGCCACATCTCACCCAACTTACAAACTGTGCGTCGTTTCAGAAGGGCTTGGTGAGCAATCGGTAGTTTTTCAATTTGACAAAATTTCGCTTTTGACATAAGAGCTTCATCAGGATAAGCGAACAGGTCATCAAATTGGCCAGGTTATAAGGCAAACGGAGAACCAATCAGTAAGTCCTCTTCTGATTATCACACTAGCTCAGTGTTGAGTGTCAATTTACGGCTCTTGTCGGTTAGTGTGGTTGTCAAAATCTTGCGTTAATGGGTTGGAGGAGTTTCAAATTACTTCCGATCGGCTCTTGTTTCTCAATCTTCCACTTCGGGATGCTTCCATTGATGATTCAGCGCGGCTGCCACCGGTAGAGTTTTGCTGATCTTCGTGGGCTTGTGAGTGTTGCGACAATTTGGTTGGAAGCAGGTGGGTAAGGTTAAGTGGAATTCAGCTGATGGTTATTCCTCCTAATAATCGCACACCACCACGTATTAGCTCGACTGATCCAAGACTGTTCTCCACACGCTTGCCAGTTCCACGCCTTCTATTCTGCAAACACTGGGGATGTTTGACATTTCTACCGCCTCGGTTATCAGTCTCTATGACGTGCACCGTAGTCCTCGCCGTAGTCCTCAACATTTTCTGAATCTATTTAGTGTCCCTTGTCCAGTGCGTGTTCTGCAATTACCGAGTCTTTCAGTAACACTTCATATTCATCCGCGTTTCTCGACGGCCTGTTTATTTTTTCCGATACTCTCCGATTCTGATGTGAAGTTCCCCGGCCGTTTGTCATGTGTAGCCCTTTGTGCAGTCGTTACATTTAATTTTGTAGACACACTCCCTGGTTCTGTTTGCCGGGAGGTGACCCTTCAATTGCACAAGTGCAGAGCACAGAGTATTTCCCCTCTAGAAAGCTACTGTTATGTTAGTCTTGTCTAGAATCCTTCGAATGACCTCCAACGTCCCTGGCTTATGTGGACTAACAGTGGTCCCGATTCATTCCCTGATGGGTTGCACTACAGGTACCAACACCCTTCGTAAATGACGTCTAATCAACCTACCCTGAAGTTTGTTCTTTACTTCAATTTGGGGCGCTGTCCGATCAGCTTCTTCTGTGCACAACGCCCTTATACGCCTGAACATTAGTGAGGGAATACTGGTGAATACCGACCTCGGATGGGCAGGAGAGTAGTTCAGGTGCGCTCCAGTGTCGGTTGGCTTCTCGTACACTATGGTCTTTAGTTTCCCCCGACCTTATGTATCATCCAGTCTAAAAAGGCCAGTGTACCCGAGGTTGGCTCTCCACGCCAAATTTGATTTGTGGACTCAGTTCATCCATTCGTTAAACTCACGAACCTTGTCTCACTTCTGTGGGTACTGGCAGTTTTGAACTGCTCGTATGCCCATACGAAGTCGGTATTCGCCAGTATTGCGAAGACTGAGGAACAAGAGCCTATCCAAGCTAATTTGCAACTCCTCCAACCCATCAATGCAAGATTTTGACAATCACACTAACCGACAAGAGCCGTAAATTGACACTCAACACTGATCTATTGTGATAATCGGAAGAGGACTTATTGACTGGTTCTCCGTCTGCCTTATAACCTGGCCAGTTTGGTGACCTGCTCACTTGGCCTGATTGAAGATTTTGTGTCAAAAGCGAAACGTTGTCCGGTTAAAAACTACTGATTGTTTACCGAGTCCTTTTGAAACGATGACTTCTCAATCGGCTCCAAAATTTTTTCCAGTTGAGTAAAAACTTTGTGTATGTTTGGTACCCACTTGCCAAATATTTCTGTCACAAAAGCCTAAACCGCGCAGATTATTCGTTTTAGTAACTTGTCATGTTGTACTGACCTGATCAGCAATTTTGTATTCCGCATCAGTCACCAGCAAACGCAGCCCTCATTGTAGCGGCGACCCAGTTGCCGATATTGTGTGACCTCACTATCTGCTGTTCATTCTGGCATGGTCACTATTTAACTGTCGTCGAGCTTGAACTCATCGACTTAACACATTGAGTTTTGGCGACTGAACCCAACAAACTGGATAAACCCTGCTAATAGTTAATAATTCCGCCTTTGTATGCTCGCCACCTCCATCAAGCTTCCTCTTACCTGGCCTGCTGCGTGTGACTGCAACGTCTGGATGAGAGACGTGGTATGCTATGCCAATCACTCAGCTCTACCTTTCCTGCAATCATGTCGCCGTTATGTAGTTTAACTTCGGCTGGCACACAATGTGTTAGTAACCCTTAGGCCTCAGACTAACGGTAGTGATTTCTCTACTATTGGCTTGCGGCCAAGTTAGTTTTCGTTAGCTCACCGCCAATTTAATCTTTCCTAAAGCCCTGTTTTAAGGGCCTGTCAGTTTACAGCTATATCGCCGAATTTACCATCGTCGATAAAGGCTTACTGGCCCGTGAAAACTTCCAAAGCACCCGTCGTTACGGAATAAGGAAATTCGTTTCCCCTGCACAGAGATATACTCCCAGGGGGACCACTGTATATCGGTGAAGGTTGTGATGTGAATCTGACATATTCCAGGAACATCAGCAACGGGTACCTCCCTAGGGTCACTGTTAGGAGAGGCAAGACTGATTTCCACCCTATTAGAGCGCCGATTTTTCCCTCTTCAGGCAACTGACCACTTTTTAGGTTGTTTACTCTGTTTATCAGGGGGACTGACGTGACATCTCAGGTGATGTCTATACAATGAAATTTTGTAGCAAGTTTAAAAAATCTGTTTTGTTACGACCTAAGATAATGACTCTCCCTGGCTAGTGCCGACTGAGTGGTAGACACGCTGGAGGTTGTTGACGGTCTCATGATTCCTAGGATTCTGTTTTGGTTCCTCAGTTCCTAGTGGACCCTTGGTTCACTCCGTCAATCACCATGTTACATGGAAAGATATGGTCATTTGAGACAGTCTTTTATCGGGCTAAAGAGTTATTACAGCTGTATTTATAAAACGCTTACAGAATTATCCACTAGGTCCCTCTAGAATCTTGGTGACGAGATGAGAAACGCCGATCTGAAGATTCTGGATTTTGCCTCACTCAAATTCTGGCCAGCTGATGCATGCCTTCTGGTCCGTGGCCGGCTCGCCATACATCCGTCCATTGAACGTGATGTTCAGTTATTCTGGGCGCCCCGCCTGCTGCCGATTCTAAATGTAGAGCAGTGTGATGCAGTTTCGCTTTACAGCAGATTTATTCAAAAATTGTATACGTGTAACGCTTTGAATGTAACGACCACCACTCAGTTTTCCCCCATGTTATTTCAGGGGAATAGATGTTTAGTTCTTGGCTGCCGATGATCGTAGCATTGCTTGTGCAGTGTATTTCCCCCGTATTTTTGGTGCTTGCAACTTTTTTGAAATACACCTTCGAGGTGTTTTTACCGTCTCACACAATCGCGGTTTTGTGAGCGCCCAGGATAGTTATGGCTGATGTCCTGTCCATTCTCAACCAGTGTAACTTCATTGTTTAATTGCCTGGTGCGCGACGACCGATGCTGACGAGCTGTCGATTTTTGAAGATACCAGGATAACTCTTGGCCAGTTACACTGCGTGTTTCAAGTGTCTTCTTCGGTTATTTTGGAAACCAATCGAATGCGCTCAATCTGTGGCCACAAAAACTAGGTTTTACTTTTGTGTTGTGGCTCCTTGTCTTTTAGTAATTGTTTTTAGACCCAATTCGTAAGAACTGCAGACAAAAGTATTCGTTCTACAACTTCGAACCTAGGAGGGAGGTTACTGTGAATGGTCAACTTTCAACGGGATTCTGTATAAACTCTCGTTTGCATGCAGTCTCCCTCCAAATTTGATCAGCTACTGTGGTTTGTAAATTGAACCTTGATTCAACTGTCCAGTGACACATGTCTTTCGTTCTAACATCGGTTTCTCTCGTTTTCAGTGAAGTTTCAGACCAACTTGTATCGAATCGTGAACATGTGTTTGAGCGTCTCTTGGTTGTTGCCCAGGAAGTGTCAGCCAGTACGACCCAGCTGTTCGTTGCAAGCCGAGTCAAACTACCTCCCGATTCGTTACACTTGAGCGAATTGCAAGCAGCTGTCCGTTTAGTGTCGCAAATGACTGGAGACCTGGTTGGCAGTGTAAAGTCGGCTATCGAAACGCATGAAGCCATTGGTAAGTAACGTACATTTCCTTACTGTTGAAGTCATGTTATTTTCCGTCCTATGTATGTCTCAGCTGGCTGCCGAAATCCATTTCCTTGTTTGTGTTGGTTTCGCTGTCCCCTTGAGGAAGTCTGATTTGACTTGGAGCAATCCATCTGATTATCCTTCAGGGTTTTCCTCATTGGATTGCCTCGACATTTCATAGTTCCTGGCTGCCTGCTAACCAGTGCAACTATACGGTTGCTTCCGTCCTTTTCCGTTGCAGAACTAGATTTTAGCGGTTTAACCCTTACCCAGGCAAAGCGCATGCAGGTGGAATCGCAAGTCCGAGTGTTGAAGCTGGAGAAGGCACTGGAAGATGAACGATATCAGCTGAGCCAACTTAGGAAACACAACTATCGAGACGAGGCTGAAGTGGAAGTAAGTTTAGTGAGAGGATTCTTGTATGTTTCAGATTTTTTCCTTCCGACACATTTGGATAATCGTAGTTTTCTAAAATATCCAAAAGGGGCACTACAAAATGTATCATAGTAAAATCTGTCATTCTGGGCGCTTGGTATGTCAGTTAGCACCTGCCTCTTGCCAACGCAACAATGAAAGCCGACACCTTTTTTACATGTTACTTTCTACAGACAAGCGCGAACCCTAGTGTACCATTCGGAACACTTCTATTTGTGCATAAACGCTCTTACAAACTGGGTAATATTTTTAGAGAGCAGCTTTTTAAACCTGAATTGGTGTTCCGTTCATCATACTGTCGGAGGCCGAAATTTTCCATGGTACACAATGTGGACTGCAATTGTGACTGATCCATGCAAGTCTTCACCAAGGTTTTGGTAATTCTTTCGGAAGGGCTTCGCAAACAAGTGATAGTTTTTTTAACTGTCCAACGCTTTGCTTTTGATACAGATACAGGCCAGGTGGGCAGGTCACGAAGTTGGTCAGGTTTTAAGGCAGACAGAAAACCATTAAGTAAGACCTTTTCAGATTAGCACACTAGATCAGTGTTGTCTGTCAATTACAGGGTGTTATTGGTTAGTGTGGTTGCCCGGAATCTTGCATTGATGGGTTGGAGGAGTTTCAGATCGGACCGATTGAAACATGAGGCGTCCTGCCTAAGAACATCGTAAACGAGAGATTCAGCTGGGTTCTAGGTGAGTCTCCCGTCAAAACTAAATTGATATGAAAATGAGTGTATTTTGTCGAAATCTGACCAATCTGGTTTCAAATAGAGCATAATGCTGACGAACACTTGGAGACTGTGCCTACCTGATGAGCCCGTGGGCTGTCGAAGAGTTTCCAGGACCTTTATCAGTAGTGTATTACGACTATATAATTTCAAATTATTTTTGATCGGGTTTTGTTCCTTAATCTTCCGATTCAAGATGTTTCAACTGATGATTCACTTCGGGTGCCAGTGGCAGATTTCATTGATCTGTGGGATGCGACAATTAAGCTGTGGGGGGTGGGGCGGGTCAGATAAAGTGCACTTCAGATCTAAGCTGCTTCTGGTAATGACCCCCCTTTCTGATAACCGCACACCATCACTTGTTAGCTCAGCTGATCTTAAACCGTTCTTAACACGGCTGCCAGTTCTATGCCGAGGTGATTCTTCAATTGCACCAGTGCAGAGCACAGGATGTTTCCCTTCGGCGAAGCTACTGTTTTGTTGGTCGTGTTTAAAATCCTTTGAATGAATTCCGATTTTCTTGGTTTGTGTGGATTTACAGCAGTCTCGATCCATACCCTGTTGGATTTCGCCACGGGCATCAAATCTCTTCGCAGGCTAGCTGGATATCCATTACCTTCACTTCAATTCGGGTCGCTGTCCGGTCAACCTCTTCTGTTAACAGGGCCCTTACTCGGCTAAACATTGATGAAGCAAACGAGTAGTTCAAATACGCCCCTGTGTCATTTGGCTTCTCAAATACCGTTTTTTAGTTTCCCACCGACCTTAGATGTCATGCAGTCTAAGAAGTAATTCGTGTTCGCGACCCGGAATGTTATCTTCACGTAAGTAATAATTTGTTCTGGGCGTTATCTTCAAATCAGTCGCATCTTCATTTTCAGTTCGGATTTTCGTCCGATCCTTTACTGAAATCAACACTTTGGATATTTCCGCGATCAAGAAAAATCGTTCACTTTATGTATGGTTCCATTCATTGAGATATTCAGTTCTCATCTTTTCGTTGCGAAGAAGGGGCTACCATTGCTTATGTCTTTGCTAGTTTTGCTGAGTCTTTACAGTAGAACTAATGACACTTTTCTTGTCTTTTTTTAGGACCAGAGTGTCTCTTGATACGGATATTGTTGGCTCGTTCAATCTCTTTACATATGCAGTTCCTTTTGCCCATCTTATACCAATGCGACATCTTTATTTGATCTGTTTTTTTCACCTCTTCATTGATTTCTAATGTCAAACGTCACACTACTTATCAGTCGCGGTTGTCGGCACATCCTTGTTCGCCTTTCCCGCCGTTTTCTGTATATCTGCCACTTGTCTTTCACCAGTCAGTGGATTCTGATTTGAGTCCTCAGTGACAATCTCACCTCTTTTTGTACCAGCACCGGATTTTAGGCAGTGGTTTATCTCATACATGAACCTGCTAATTAGTCAATGATTTTCAACATTTTATTTTTATCGGCCCATTCATGCGCAATTGGCATCAAGAATACCACAAAAATACTCAGTATGATTACTTTTCGTTCATTCCGCGATGGAACTTGTGGCAATAAACTTTCCAAAATATAATTGTTATTTTGCTCATAAATGATCTATCTGGGCTTCCAGAAACTAACCAGATGTACTGTTCTTTTGAATTGCATCGATGCTTCGGGCAGGCAATTCGTTATCTAAAGCCTAATGCAAGCAAATGAAAAGGGTTACGAAGGTGAATTCTGTACACTATCGTCCGGTAACATCGTCATGCTTCAACCGTGTTTCGAGCAGTGGTTGAATGAGATCACTACCTCATTGTTCTACATCTGACACTCCAAAGTGAGCAGTGTATGATCCCATGTACTAGAAGGATTCTTACGAATATGTTACTCAGACTTTGAACAAGCCGTAGTCATTGATTTGTGTATGATATGTGGCGCACTGAATGGTATTGCGCTACGGCTAAATCGTAGCCTAATGGAGTCTCATTAGCCAGGGAGTCTGTTCGTGCCTAGCGAATGAGGTTAACTAAGTGGTAAACACCTGTGGTATGTTTTGCTTCACCGCGCGGCCAAACAGTGTTTAACAGTACGCTACATCGTAGTGATGCCTGTCGCTATTAGCGTGTTGCTGATTATACGGACCCGTGTTTTCATTAGTTCAAATTTTTGAGTAGAGTGTGCCATGCAGCGATGTGATCTATACCGCTTTTCGGATCCGTTTTGCTTTCTCTTGTTCCAAGCATTTACAAGGACGTTGCATTTGACCATCGGTAATTTGGTCTTGTGGAAACACCGAGCTAGCCGTTGATCTGGCTTTCAGAATAATCAACCTATCCCCCGAATACACGCTAGTGATGCTCCACAACCGAAATTTGGGCCACATAATTTGCATCACGGTTGTCCACTTATTTCACAGACCTCTTTTGTCCCAGGTCTGTGACAAGTGGGACTGAATAATTAAAATCAGTCTATAATTTGACAACAAAATATGGAAACATTGAGAACCAGTTTCTCCCCGCATGGGGACATCCGGTAAAGCAAACACGTTAGTGGCATCAACAGTCGTAGCTGGGGGAACTGTACTCCGGCATCTAAGCAATCACCCTCGAAGACATCTATCTGAGTCACCACTGCATCAGCCGTCACAAAGAGGCTGAACCTTGCTGGGGTGTGGCAGTTTTTGCACCCCCGTAACCCATTGTGTCGTACTGGGAAGTGTACATATGACATTTATGGAGCCTCTCCTACAGAGGTTGTTCAATGAATGGCGGTCTCTTAGTCCTCCAGGTTGCGGTTGGGGCATATGCGGCGACTTGCACAGTGAAATGTAGGCTGCCGTGGCGGTTTTACGCCAATCAACGTTGCCTGTGGTTGGGCTTTTGAGCCAAAGGCTTTGGTTGCGAACGCTACTCGACCTCCTGTCCAGGCGTGGGCGTACTGACTGGCAGTATCCCAGCCCATGTACACACATCTTCCATGCCAAATCCGCCTTGCTGCATAAAGCTGGGTGGGTGAATGGAAGCAAGCTACTGCTGATGCCTTTCTTTTCCACATATTCGTTATCCTCTCCTTCATCCCGCTGCTAGCGACGTCTCTAGCCCGATTCTTAGGGACTGTTCATTGCCGCTGGCTGCAATAACTACGGTTAGATTGGTCGCAGACACTTCAAACCTTGAAGCCCAGCTCATCTGACAACCTTTGACGTTCGTACCTTGAAACAAGCTGGATATCAGACTTCTATTGCACGTACGCTGAACTCTCTCTCTCTCTCTGTCTCTCTGAAACGAAGATCAAGAACCAAGTACGATTGTTGAACTGACCTCTCCACTGGATCCCGATCGCTTCTGGTTTCGCACCTCTGGTGACCCAGAAGCCGCTGCTGTTTGTCCTGCCAAGATTGGAATTGCTCTGAGCCGCCGGGATGTGAAGGAACTCTGGTTGGATGATTGACCGTTGGTAGCGCCCAAAATTGCCGCCTGTTTTATCGCATCTCTTTGCGTCTCAAAAAACTTCTGCTCATAGAGGCGGACTTTTCAGCGCCCTGTCGCGCTGGACTAAAATCACCTTTATTTCTGGTGCTGGAGATACGGATGCGCAGGTAGGTAGGGTCTCAGTTGAGTTGTAGTCTTGGCTGGAATCGACAAGTGACAATGGGTAACGGCTGCTACTGTCATGTCCTGACCACAGACCGTTCTTATGCAAGATTAACATCCGAAACCACTGAACCCGTTTGGTCGCATGGTGCTGTCTACATGCGATCCAACCTCCAACCACGACCAGGCCACACGGCCATTAGCTGCTGGTGATGTGGGTCAATTACTGATAGTCGCTTGTTCTGGGACAATTGTGTGGAGTCGGATCACGCGCTTGCTCGTTGCTGCTTCCGGTTGCGCTTTCCAGGAGCTTGCACACACTTTGCCGTGTCATTGAGAAGCTCTCGGACCCTGGTGTGAAGTAAGCCCATCAGAACCACCAACTGAAGACCCCTCAGACAATAAGTCTTCTAATGTTGACTTACTGGAAGGCACTATCCTCAGCCTTTCAGGATGCTGGGTGCTCCGCTTGTTGAACGGTGCAACGAAATAAATATAGGCAGTGAAACGCGAGCAACATCCGAAAAGCACTGGAAGGTTGGACACGCATTCCACTCGGTCGAGAGTGCAATACAACTCGACGAACGAAGAAAATCTGTGTGGATCGACATGTTTGGTGGGTCCGGAAAGCCGAAAACCTGCAAGAGACGACGACCTCTGGGAATATGCTGATACTCGCAGTGGGCCTAAAGACGCCTCCTGTGGGAAAGCAACTACTGAGCAAACGAATCGCCCACTTTTCAAAAACGAGGACGTCTGGATTTTCGGGCTGAATACTCAACAATTCAACTATCCACCTGCATTTGCTCAGCCGGATTCCTGACCCGCGACGCAGTCCGACACACTGGACTTGGAACTTTCAACTATCTTGGAAATCCGCGAATTGCTTTTATCCCTCAAGTGTCACCGAGGTTCTGGTCCCGGCGAACTCCCGCTCGCTCTGATAAAAAATGGAGATGAAATGTTAAGCGCATATCTAACTTATTTCCCTCTATCTGGGCGAAGGAGGCCGTTCCAACTAACAGGTTATTTGAGAGTAGTGCTCGTTTTCAAAAATGGCACCCGCGGTAATGTAATATTCGCAGGGGAATCAGCCTTAACCGCGTTGTAAACAATCTCTTTGCATCGCTTATTTTACGTAATCTTATACAGGCGCGTGAAGACGAGACCCGAGAACAGCAAACAGAGTCCCGACCAGTGAGAGACAGCGCGGCATGCTATTCCTTGACTTCAAGAATGCATTCGATTCTGTTGGCTGGTCGGTTTTGTTCAACACACTTGCGCAACAGGATATGCCCCAGAAGTTTGTGAACACCTTGCACCGTTTGTATTCACAGGCTTTTAGGCGTGTGAGAGTGTATGGTAACTCTCCAAAAGCTTTCTTACAAGCAGTGGTGTCCGACAAGGGCGTCGACGCTCTCCATTTCTGTCTGATTTCCTCGTTAATGAAATACTACGGCGAAGTTTCCGAAACTCCGGTGTTTGGATCTCTCCGAGTAAGAACCTTGTCAACCTGGAATATGCAGACGACATTGTTCTTGTTTGTGGAAGTGTAGGAAGCGCAAGTGTTACTAGAAAAGCTGATCCACGTGATCCAGTCGTTCAGCATGTGCTCTGTGCTCACAAAGTGTGAAGCCATGCCGCAGTATGTATAGTCTTTGAACATGGACCTAAAAATTTAAGGAGTGACACTGAAAGTTGCGGAACGCTATACGTATCTCGGAAGTCACGTTAGCTGCGACAGACGAAGTGAACGTATTAATCCCGAAGACCAGAATCGCTTTCCTCTACCATGAGTTGGGAATGGACTATTGAGTTTATTCTGAATGGAAATATCTTTCATTTTATTGATTTCGTACCTTTCTCTATGAATGTCCGAGCATAAGAAAAAGATGTCAAAACTCTTCACCCGAACAAAGTTTTGCTCAACTGACTTCTGTCATTCTCGTTGGATTCTGTGATGAGGGTCTATAATCCTAGGATACCAACATTTCTGCATGATACTTTAGCGTAAACAGCGTAGTCTTGGTAATGAATGACACCGGGGATGTTGGGATATGTGGAGCCTCGCCGAAATATACCGAGATCGCTCGTTCGCCTAATTAGGACTTTTGAGAACACCAGCGGCTATACGAACATAAACACAGTTAGTATGCTTTTATTTTTCACAGTAAAACTAACCTTAGATAATAGAACTAGACACCGATTGAAACTAGCGCGAGATACTGTTAGCGATTAATATTTTTCACTCCTCAAGTGACTACTTACAAAATCTGGAGAGGTGATGTATTCGAGTTTGGATTGTCGCCCACTCCGAAAGTGGTTTTACGCGTCCCAACCTAAACTTTCACAGGAAACAGATAAGGACTTTCTAAGCTTGGAACAAAGGCAACTACACTCAGGGGCGTCAGTTCGTCGTCGGGCCCGCTTAGCACTTCGCTTTCCGCCAGCACCAAGCGTGCCGAAAGAAAGCAGCTCCGTTCATCAACTTCGACAAGCTTCAGTAGCTGAAGGGTATCGAGCTGATCTGGCTCGAAAGCTACGGGAAACGCACAGTCATGTAGACGACGAAGATTGCTTGGAGGATGAATGGAGACGAGTTAAAGTAGCATGCTGTCAGCTTTCAGAACTGTGTCTAACCCATCTGACTCGACTTAATGGACACCGGATGTCTTCGAGATCAGCAGACCTTATTGCTGTCAAAAAGGCCATACCAGCAACGAGCGACTGTGATGGCGCACGCAGATCTCTAGCGCCGGATAATCAGCAGCTTAAAGAATGACAGAAAACGCTGGTGGATTTCGAAGTTTCAGAAGATGGAGAAGATTTCGCTGCAGGCAATCGCCGCGCCCAATCAAAGGGCCAAAAGAAAGCAGGTGTCAGTGAGACAATATGCAAAAAAGACGGAACAGCAATTCACTTCCTCAACTGACGCCTTGAGCAGTGGGCTGAGTACTTCAAAGAACAGCTCACCTGGTCCCTTTCAACACAACCACTAAAATAATCAAGGGGGCCCAAATGGAACATTGACATCAACCCACCATCAGCAACTGAAATCCAGCTTGACACATCAATCCTCAGGCGCGACAAAACACCTAGAGCGGATGGTCTAGGTGTTCAAAGAAGGTGGCGAGGTCCTGGTGAACTGACAAAACACCTAGAGCGGATGGTCTATGATACCTCGCACTATTCAAAGAAGGTGGCGAGGTCCTGGTGAACATTCTGACAATCAAACGAAAACACAATACCAGATAGAGCTTCTCGATCGTCATCCCAATGCCAATTACACGGACCGAAGAAACTGCACTAAAAAGAATGAACGAATCACACATATGTCGGAGAGACCACAACTGAAATGGTAACGAAAGAAGCAGACCGTCTGCATTGCAATTTATAGGTCTTGTGCGCATATACAAAATGAACTGGAATACAGTTGTAGAGACGTACTGCACACTTCCTATTTACTTAAATAAAAGCTGACGAGTGATTTTTTCGTGAGTTTTCTTTATCCGATTTTGGCACAACCAGATAACTTTGACATGTAACAGAGTGAACAGCGGCACATGTAATGCAGGTGGAATTAGTAAGCTTTCTAAGTATAGCAAAAATACGACGAAACTGACTGGTCGTTCGCGAGCAAACCAGAGTAAATTAAGGACTCAGACAGGGCGCTTCGGATTAGCTTACTCGAGAATGAATCACCATCATCAAAGGATAGACCAACACAGAAGTTGACAATGAAGCTTTACCTCCGTACAACCAAAACTATTGAATTACACCTGACGTCTTGAAGTGAAAACAGAATAGGTGAAAGGTGGACTTCGTGCTAGTCTATCGCATGCATTCTGAGGCACCTACACCGCCAAGTGCTCAGTCAGACAATCTGGAGAGAAACTAGCAGCACGAACGACATTCTCATTCATCAGCCGCCATTTCCCGAAAAGTCTCCAGCCGAGAAGGGGTAGGGTTATCAGGGAGATGCCATCCTGGAAGCCAAAATGTACTAGCACCCTAAGTGCTCACAATCTCTTTCACACCCTTCTGTCAAGTCACACATCGTCTGCCTCATACTCGGGCCATTCAAAATCAGCCAAGAACACCCTTCTCGGTAGGCGAAGTTTCACATGCGCATTACATGGCCAAGCTACCACAGTTGATGTTGCTAGATGTCTTCCGCGACCCATGTACCTGCTGCACAGTCAAATATCTGTTTTCTTATTGCGTTCAGTTGTAGCACCCTTCCGGTGCCTAGCTGCCGTGCCAGTTGGAGAAGCACGAGGGCTTGGATATTGCCAGGTTGCCCAAGCCTAGACAGGGGAAGTCGAGAGGCGGAGGTGGGGTTCGAAACACGTATCTTCCGGTCAGTAAATTCGCGCTCTAATCACTTGGGCCGTCTCGCCCCCAACCCTGTTTTCTAATTACTTCATCATGAATCCGTTGGCACAATCCAAAACCGCCAACGCTTCTGACACATCGACAATGAAACACCTGAGGACGCCCCAGGTCATCTGTCTGCAGAGACCTCTGGAATTCATGCACTGACTTCATCAGACATAATTCCTTGGATTGCAACGCGCGTTTTCAGGAAATGATTGTCCTGAAGCATGACTTAGCACCTGTCGAAAGATGATACGACGGTAGTCAGTCTGTTGAACAGAGCTTATGCTTGGACATAGTCTTCTGCGTACTCCAGATCGGTAAGGTTCTTAACAGTAGTGATTTGAACACAGGGGTTTTGAAAACCTTCCAGCGTTCACCTCAGTCATCATCATTATCAACAGCAAGACGTCACTGTTAAACACGGATATTTAGTATTTAACCGATAACAATGTTGAACAAGAATGAAGAGTGTTTGAAAACCTCCAGCGTTCACCTCAGTCATCATCATTATCAACAGCAAGACGTCACTGTTAAACACGGATATTTAGTATTTAACCGATAACAATGTTGAACAAGAATGAAGAGTGGGCATGATTTCCGAACACCACTTTTCGTAGGGAAGCTTTTAGACAGCACATCGTACACTCAGACACTGGAATATGTGAATATACGAATCAGAATGTGTTCACAAACTCCTGCGGAATCAATTGTTGTGTAATTACAGTTAGCAGCAGCAACTGACCGACAGAACCGAAAGTATCTTTGAAAACAACGAGCCCCAAGACTGTGGGTCGTCTGTACGTATGGCGGAGTATGATGTGTTCGACGTACCCAGTTGAAACCCCGGTTGATACCCATGGATCAAGGTTTCGCCTGCCACCGTAAAAACACGCAGAATCAGTGATGCCGCCAGTCTTGTTATAACGGGGGTCAACCTGACACCTCTGTGATTTACATTGACTGCGAGCATCCTTTTCGAAAATCGGAACCATTATCGACTATCCCAGTTGCCTGAGACGGTATTTTTCTCTCAGATAGACGCAAATAGGGTAGACAAACACTGGTTGAGGAGTTCGCCTCAATTCTTAAACGCAGCAGGCGGAAGGTTGTCAGGACGATAACACTCGAGTGGAGATATACAGACACTTCTGAGGCTGAAAGGGACTTCATTTTCACAATCGACTTTCGTGGTAAAGTCCGTCAGTCCTGATCTGAGGTAACGAGTAGACAAATGAATTGTTGTTCGAAGTACTGTTCGAAACGCAACGGCCCAAATGTCTGCTTTTGCTGGATATCATAAAGCCATTTTGATCCCTGATAGTTTCCCTGACATTTGGCTTCCATGGAACAATCCAACGAATCAAGCGGAAGAATCCGTGGACGTTTCCACTATTCTCTGCATCTTCCGTTTCTTCGACCTTTCGGATCTACCATCCGTTGCTGAGTAAGCAAACGGGTATGGCCTAATCAGTGAAGACGAGTTGTTGATTTCCTACCAGAGGCGGCTCACTGCTTTCTTCGAATGGCAAGGTGAACAGCATACCTACCAGTACTCAGCAAAACGGAACCCGATGTCCAGTACCAGCCCGGTGACTGCAATGATCGACGAGACCAATAGTGAGATTAGATCCAACCCCGTCGCCATAGGATACGAATAGCACTTTTGATTAAAGAATGTCTTTGTCGGGTGCATACAAGACTAAGATAATAGCGAGTGTAAAATATGGTGTTACACAAAAATGATGAACTAGGTCAATAAAAACCATGGAGAAAGCTAACGAAGGGAGTATGAAAAGAACAAAATAATGAAAGCCAGCTGTGTAGAAAAAATTGCGCCCACCAAGCATGATACAGGAAGCGAAACGATCAACACAAGTATTACCGGAGCTGTCGAAATTTTCCAGGTGAGGATGTGTATGTTCCGGAAAAGTCACTGCCGCACGGGTAGGGATGCACGCGGTCTATATGGGTAAGACGTGGATGCATGCATGGTAGTGAACAGGCAGACCATCCATTCGCAACCGAAACAGCAAGACAGGTCAAAATACGAAAGTCAAGCGAAAGTGTGCTTTGCAGATTCGGGCGAGTGCAGAGCAGAGAAATAAATTCCCATATAGATCACATCCTGATGGCAGCTCGAAAGGCGTGGATTTCGATGCACCATACGCGGCAGGAGATTTGGATAATGAAATAGAGGAAAATGGCGCTGTAGAGTGCAACTATCAGAAGCAGAGAAATGCGTGCCTGAGAATCAATTCATACGCAGGCTAGAAAGATACATTAACGTAGAAATAAGATTCAACGACTGGAGTGCTAAACTAAACCAGGATGTGAGAGCCAGTCAGAAGAGGGCTCGTCCAGCGACATAAGTTCAGGACTCAAGTATCCACTTGCAGAAGGCTGCATGCCTGGTGAAGGATTAGAGCATTGTTGTGGATTATGGTAAGTTGGCAACAAACCTCTGGTTTGTCTGGTAGGATTTGAGACAGGAACATGTGATGGCTTGTAACCGGATGGTGATGGTTGCACATAAAGTTCACTGGAAGGACTGATGTAACCACTGGTATCCAAACTACCATAGCCAGAACGGCGGGTAGAAGCGCTGCCTGATGTTGGGAGGGTTGTGTTGTCAACCAGACTAGGCTGCAACGGAGCCAGTGCGCTTGGAGTAGGCGTGTTTGATGAAAGTGTTGAGTAGCAAGGTGGACCAAGAGACATATAGGACGCAGGTGTGGGAACTATTTCCATGTGATGTGGTGTATGCTCTGGAGGGTAGGACAGACCTGTTGATGAGCAGCAGAAAGTCGAAACACACGGATCCGGGTAGCCAAACGAGGGATCTGCACCACCTCCAGAACCATCATTCCAATAGCCACAATAACTTGAACATCCAGGGCCTACAACAGTGCATAAAAATGAACAGTTCAGTACTAGGATAGTGAGAACTGTCAGAGAAAACCGAAAACTAACAAAAAATGAACCAGGCCCGAAATTCACGAAGTCGGGCCTTGTTCTAAGCTTCCTCAAGGCGTTTGAAAGCCATGTTTTGCTTTAGGAAAAAAGAAGGTAACAGTTAGGAGAATGAAAACGGCGCCCCTTCGAAAACTTGAACCCTGGCTATCGGGAGATATAATTTAAGAGTATAAATGCCAGTCTGGATCATCACCACTGACACAAACACCACAGGAGAACACTGCTGCTTCAGTAACATACAACCATGTTTATTTATTTGACTAAGGCTTTATAATGGAAAAAATGCGAGGGGCAGGGGGGGGGGGGAATAGCCTACCAAAAAACACCGAGGTGCCTAAACTTCCAATATTCAGCCATACAATCCAGAAAGAAACTGACAGTATGAATCCTACTGATATCGTCCAGTGTATCCAGCTACTTTAAATTAGGTACGGAAAATAGAGCTCGTCTCGGTAGGCACTAACTCAGTCTGAGTAACAGATGAACCAGCCACATTGGGTTGTAGTGTTGGATGCATTCTCTAAGGAAGTACCTTCCGCTTCAACAAAGACCCGTTTATTAGTCACATTATAGAGAATCCGCTAGGTCCAGCCGCACTTCACAGGCATCGGTAGCTTAAGACCGAAGAATTCTGAGATCCTCAACCCGAAGTAGCTAAGTCCCGGAGCCGTTCGACAATACAGTCCACATTGTAGTCTGGTAGACGTGTCCTTTGAGACCCAGCGATGTACATACCTTTGATGCCGCAAGTAAGGCAAGTTAGCAAAAGCTATTCTGGTCTTCAAGCCTCTTCATCATCATCTTCAATTGTAAAAACCGCATACATGCCGTACAGGGTTCATAGTTGCCACAGGTTTGTCCGCCAATGATTTGAGGAGGTGAGGGTAGATAGTTACGCATTGGAGGCGGTAGCTGATATAATCGATGGGTCAACACAGGGATGTCAGTGGATTTTCATAGGGGAGCTCGAAAGGCGAAGACATTGGAGGCACGCCCTCTACCGAGTGCGCGACTGGGTCATGTCTGACAATATCTCTGACAACTGATGTGTTCCATCCCGGAGTCACCATCCAGGGAGGCGACAATGACCAGCGCAGCTGAGTGTATTTCATACTTCACTACCACTTCATTGCTTGACCTTCTGTGGCTCGTTTCCACACTTCGTGTGGCTGTGCGAAAAGGGCTCCTCGAAGAATTCGGTCGACTGTTACACGGAGCCACCAGTTCATTGCTTGACCTTCTGTGGCTCGCTTCCACACTTCGTGTGGCTGTGCGAAGAATTCGGTCGACTGTTACACGGAGCACACGACTGAGCCAGCGCAACCTGTCGAAGTGGGATCAGCTCATCTGTCGTGGGCGGGTTACTTATTCCGAAAACCATTAGACGTACTTCAGTATTACTGAGCCAGTGTCCCCATCAGACACAGGCCATATTCTGAAAAGATCGATGGTCGGACAATGAAAAATTGTTGACGTCCTCAGCGGACACCGGGCAGGTTTCTGAACTGCCAGGCCAAAGCCTGAACCGCGTTGAACCGTAATTGCCATGTCACTGTAAGTACCTTTTTGAAAACGGACACAATACTCAAATGACCTCAGTAAGTTGGGATAGTCTCTTTCGCCCAGATAGGGATGAATAGCTTAGAGTACATATTCAAGATTTCACCTCTATCTTTAAACTGAGCGGGTGAGTCGATCCAGGAGAAGAAACTCGTGGATATCGGGACGGGTTTCGAAGTAACAATGAATTTTTCCTAAAGGACACCTAGCGCGACTAAAAGCGCCCCCGTTTAGCAGGCAAGTTTGCTTTAACAACGTACACGGGTCCTAAAATTAGATTTATCCACTCTGATGGGAAAATTTGTTTAAACTGCGGTAGAAGACAGCACTAGAAGAGTTCCATTTATATGTACTGACATAATACTACTGAAGATCAGGCCGAAGAAGGTTGGAGGTCATGAGCGTAAGTCAATTGCGTGGACCGATGAAAATCGCTTACGATAGCTGCTAATGTGTACGGTGATCACAGGTTTCAATCAAATCCTTCATCCCTCGGATCCTCGCTCGTTCAGTGGTGCAGCCAGAAATAAAGATAGAAACTACCTTGCGGTTCAAGTTGTGGTCCAAGATGACAACATTGTTCATCGGATATGGGAATGAAGGGCTTCGCATTGGAGGCAATATCTAATATCCTTGAAAAGCGAAATCTATGGTAAGATCGGGAGTAGCTATGCATCAATAACAACAGTTCAGATGCGAAACACCACTGAATACACAACTGGGAAATATCTGCCAGTGCCTCCATTCATACATGTGCACCACCTTACGGTGGCTGCCAGCGCGACTGAAGTAACTAATTGCAACTTTAATGCTTCGTTGTCAAGTTGAGGCCGGAATTCTGCCTTACGTTGAAAAGTTCCTGATATGAGCAATGGCGACAAAATCAATCACTGTTTACGTACAGCTGCAGTAAGCGACATAAGTGGAATCGGGTCACGTCACTCTTCAATAAAAAGCTAACTGGAATGCTCGATAATAATAATGAAATAAGATATGTAAATTAGGGAAAACGTCTGCCGTACAGTATACGACAAGCCCGCCTCAAAGTATCTTTCAAGATGCCCACTATAGTCGGACATATAATGAACGGAATCAGTGAGGGGCTGACGGGGACGGAGCGGTTCGGAGAGACTGAAATATGACTAACCTTTGAAGCCGACCGGTGGTGGCCCTAGCATCTCCGTGAGCGAATTTGTCGGAGGGCTAGAGGAAACATGTGATGGATCCACCGAAAACTGGTGTGACCAAGTGGGGTGTGTCGATGATTGTGAAGTTGAAAGGGAGGCCGGTGCACAAGCAGACATCGACGGAATCTGTACTGACGGCAGCTGATACGGTCCCAAAGTATCCATTGGAAGGGGAGGTGTGTTGAGGACTTCCACATGGGATGGGAAAATGCAAGAGTTCCCATTGATACCTTTTCGTTCCTCGGTCAGACGAATCACCACCGCCGATGCATACGTCGATATGGCTTCATTGCGAGAATGTACTAGTTCGTCGAAACGTGTGCTTGCTCCTGGTATGTTCATAAGCGCATCCAGGCCGTCACGATCCTGTGAAATCTCTGCAAGCACACCAGCAGCGGCTCGTTGGATGGATTCGTGCGGTGAATGCAAAAGGTGAACGAAAATTGCAAGGCCGGGACCACCTGGTTGAACACGCGGAGCTACAACTAGATTGGGAGCCTGAAGAGGGGAGATGAGACATCAAAAGTCAACGCCCGAAAATTAAACAAGATTTTCAGTGAATTTCGTTTTAAACCTACTGATTCTTTTAACACTGCGGGGTCAGATATGATGAGCTCTTAACTTTCTCAAAATGGCTTTCCAAGGACTGCGCGTTTTCGTCAACACTAGCAACAAAAACGGGACGATAAAATCTACGAATCAGTTGTTCAAATACACCCACTGTTATACTGCTGCTGTGGGCTACAAGGTGAACCAGCTAGTTAGGAAATGCTGGGTCACAACCCGAAAGGTTCGCCAACCGAGGCCGTGCAGACTCATTTGTCACAGTCACATGGGTGTACAGTGATTGGCCAAATGATTCTTCAACTAGTAATTGCACATCACAGCTATCAACCAGCTACCGGCTGCTACATTGCAAGTTGGCCCGACCACAACAGAATCCCGTTCGCTCACTCAGCGTTTGGTCCCCGAACAATTAGTTGATGTCTTTTCGATCATCAACACGTTTGAGGCCCCAAATACGAATTCATTCAGTTCATTCCGGATAGACCTAAGATAACACTCGGATACGCCCATCGCTAGCGACTTTACTGGGATTCTTATCCACAGAGCTTTCGAGTTTGGCAAAGAAACGGTACCACAGCTCAGACGGTTTAATTGTTGAACCACAATGAATAGACAGCCACAGGTCATAACGTCTAGCAGAGAATGAGGTCCGCGAAACTAGCTATCGCTCTTAACTCGTCATAAAAATTCGTCTTTTGCAACGGTACATTCGCTTTCCGTAATTCATCAGTCAGATAACAACTAGCCAAGAAAAACGCACCTTAGGAGGTCCGGCTTAAGCTGGAGTTTGTAAATGGGTTAGGAAAACAAAAGAACAAAAACAATTGTGCTGTAGATAAGCGATGTGTGCTACAGAACTCCATGTGGGGTCACAACTTTCCGGTAATTCAACGAAACGAAAAGGCTAGTGGACCCAGGGTGCGCACAAAATCAACGTAAACCGCGCATGCGGAAATTATTTGAGTTAAGAGGCCCCTTACTTGTCGGAAGCATCATTCTTGGGGAGTATAGTATCTCGTAACTCCAAGATAACACGAGTCGGACCACTTACTTCGTTTCCTCCGAGAGTTCGTTTCTCAAAGATTAGCTCATAAGACAAATTGCCGTAGATAATTTCGAACAAGTCGAAATATGGAACGCAGCATCTAACCGACCCCCGCCCTGAATGACCGAGAACACTGGACTGGATGTCAGTACCTTCGGTGCGGTAATCAAAAGACGCCCGTTAATTCCCTATATGCCTATATGGACCTTACTCAAACCAACGCGTAGAGCAATAGTTGAAACTCACCCAGGTAACTACCAACACAACTTGCTTACAGCAAGATCTAAGCCGATCGATGACAAATCATACTGGCGAACAAACAGGTGTAAGGCCTCCTTACAGCGACTGTTGACAGATCCAGTCAAAAGCGACCGATCAAGAGGACTTCAAACCGCCGTGGTGTAATATGACGCCAGTGCACAAATAAAGATGTAAGCATTCATCGTCCCACACAATTACCACCAGAAAAATAGACAACTCTATATAATTATAAGAGTGAGTATGGACTGCTGGTCGGATACCGAGGGTTTTTCAAAAAATCTGATTTTGTTCTTCCTAATAATCTTCGGTTAAAATTCCAATCAGCCTGCTTGGTAATTATCAGATCTTTCGGGAGAAACGAGAACTGTGAAGGTAAGAAACCTGAACTCGTTCTGAGCCAACCGGTGGTTGAACCTATGGGGACCCAACGGGGTCGACAAAAAACAGTTATTGTGGAGAGGTGGAACAGATTCGGTGTATTTCAATGAATTTCATTGCAAGTTAGCCGTGGTCTCTTTTCCAAATCAATATATACTTATTACCAACCGAAAACCCAAGCAAAAGAAACGTTATATCAGGGGCCAGCAATATCCGGTCAGCTTACAATTGTTACATGCGTTGAACGGTTTTGTAAACAGCCTCATTATAAGGCCGCCGACAAGGAAGTTATAGGTTCGCACCACGGCTTCGGTACACTCTGATGCTGTACGCAGCTGTTATAGAAAATGGGTTAACAAGAGTTTGAGTTCTCATTTTTCGTGACGTTATATTTTAACTGGCCTTCCGAAGCAGTACCATGATCAGTTACACGTTACCGAGTAGCGACTTATATCTGCGCAAAGTAGTGAAACACCATCACTGTTATACAGACGATTCCGTCACTTTGAATCAATCCATCCAGTCGGAGGTATAACAAACTTATGTTTGACACGAATATCAACAAAACTTTGCCATCCTCATGGACTCTGAATTAGCCATGGCCTCCGCAAGATTAACTTTAATAGTTTCCTCAAGCGGACCCCTACCGGCTTACAACCTGTTTATTTCATCACAAAAAGCGGTGGTGATCGGATCGCAATTTTCGAAACAACCCACAAACCCATAATCGGTGCAAAAACGAACTGACAAAATTCCTTAGTTAACCATACAGCCATCAAGAGTGCGGTTTACTACCAATCATCACTAGAACAGCTGACACGAATCAATCGGAAACAACCCCCCATAATCGGTGCAAAAACGAACTGACAAAATTCCTTAGTTAACCATACAGCCATCAAGAGTGCGGTTTACTACCAATCCAATCATGAACAGCTGACACGAATCAATCGATGCGTCTAATCCTTCCAAACACTACTCTGGTTTCTTTCCGTTTGAGCCCATGTGCTTTGACAAATTAGTTCTGGTCACGTACAATTGGCACAGATTCATAAAATATGTGCCATATAAAGAGTTTCAGAGGTTTCACATTCGGATTCATGGCGAATTGATGTATAGTGAATGAAGTATTTCGTTTGGTACATCCATGCTGTTCATTGGTGGTGAACATTTAACGAACACATCAGGAACGTTGGGATCTGCTTTTTTGAAGATTATCCAAACTTTGCTTACCAAGACACGAGTGGTTCCCACTTGATGAAATAAACAAGTTTCATCCGTATCCCTGAGCAGTGGTCTGAATAGCGAATGGGTGTAGCATTCCCCTCTTCGACGTTTGTGAACGAATTGGCCCCACGGGTTTTGTCACCTCCGTTCGCTTTTGGAAACCCTCAGTTTATTAAGCAAAACCACTGCGGTTTCATTAGTGTACAAGCAATCTTCCTGAACGACGTTCTGAATGCTGCATTGATCGAGTCTGCCTGGTCGTGATTGCTTCGGCCCCCGACTGGTTCATCCTGTGTCAGACAGTTAGTATTAGTTTTCAGTTCTCCGACTGTTTATCTGTATTGCTAACTAAAAGAGATGAAACTTTCCGACGGATCACTGTTGCTTATCGTGATCTCTAATTGTACATTACGAAGTGCCCAGAGGAATGATCGAGACTTTGAATTGGATTCGCGCAGTTGCTGGCTAACCGTGTCACCTTGTAACGCACTGTAGGCTCTGCACCGCCTCCTAGCCCTACGCAGCTTTGTGTACAGTTTGGCATGGTTTGAGCATTCTTAAGCATTATGGTCTTCTTGGTTTGCACTTTCAACAAAAAAAGTATCCACGCCCTCCAATCATTCAGTTAGGCCTCGTTTATGCATACCACTGATTTCCTCCGTCATCCGCCTTGCGTTTCACTTTTAAGTGGTAACACACTCTCGGACGTAGCAGTTTTTTCTCAATCTCCAATTCTGGCCGAAGGAAAACAAGCTTTCTTGAATACGCCTCATTGTGGGGACGTCCAAGGACAAAGACAGTTGCTACTCATGTGGGTGGAATGTTTCAATAAACGATCGGAAAGCGACAAAGCATCAGTTCAGGCATATGTAGTTCGGATAAACAGACACAGGAAGGTAGTCCGATACAGACAGGGTCCATGTGAGGCACCTCGTATAAAACAAGTTTAATCGCGCTTTGAGAGGTGGCACATCCGACAGATGGTTTCGCTCCGAAGTTTTACAGTATTTTCATCTCAGTCCGTTAATACAGTTCTGGCAAGTAGAATAAGTGTAGTATTTAAGCGCATTTTTGCGCTTGCGATTTCTAGAACAAGAATAAATCTATGGAGCTTTACACTTACCTACAGTGATTGGTCTTTACCACACGACACAAAACATCTGTCCTGGCAGCAGAGTAGCTTCACTATGAAAATGCTCGCAGGATATCTCCTTGAGTAAATCCATGCGAAGGTACAGTATTAAAAAACCGTTCCTGAAATTCGGAAATTTCCGAACTCAAAATTGACTGACACTGAAATAATGGTGTCGGAATCGGCGAACCTCAATAACTGTGTCGGTGTAAGCATGAAGTTAGAGGCTTTTTCTAACCTCATAGAATGCTTCACAGCAGTGCGTATGATCTGTGCCGCTAAGAAAGCTCAGACATTTCAACACTAGCGGCGATCCCTTCCACTCAAAGCTTACATAAAGAACAAGTGGCTCCAACTGTTGATGCGTCTAATCCTTCCAAACACTACTCTGGTTTCTTTCCGTTTGAGCCCATGTGCTTTGACAAATTAGTTCTGGTCACGTACAATTGGCACAGATTCATAAAATATGTGCCATATAAAGAGTTTCAGAGGTTTCACATTCGGATTCATGGCGAATTGATGTATAGTGAATGAAGTATTTCGTTTGGTACATCCATGCTGTTCATTGGTGGTGAACATTTAACGAACACATCAGGAACGTTGGGATCTGCTTTTTTGAAGATTATCCAAACTTTGCTTACCAAGACACGAGTGGTTCCCACTTGATGAAATAAACAAGTTTCATCCGTATCCCTGAGCAGTGGTCTGAATAGCGAATGGGTGTAGCATTCCCCTCTTCGACGTTTGTGAACGAATTGGCCCCACGGGTTTTGTCACCTCCGTTCGCTTTTGGAAACCCTCAGTTTATTAAGCAAAACCACTGCGGTTTCATTAGTGTACAAGCAATCTTCCTGAACGACGTTCTGAATGCTGCATTGATCGAGTCTGCCTGGTCGTGATTGCTTCGGCCCCCGACTGGTTCATCCTGTGTCAGACAGTTAGTATTAGTTTTCAGTTCTCCGACTGTTTATCTGTATTGCTAACTAAAAGAGATGAAACTTTCCGACGGATCACTGTTGCTTATCGTGATCTTTAATTGTACATTACGAAGTGCCCAGAGGAATGATCGAGACTTTGAATTGGATTCGCACAGTTGCTGGCTAACCGTGTCGCCTTGTAACGCACTGTAGGCTCTGCACCGCCTCCTAGCCCTACGCAGCTTTGTGTATAGTTTGGCATGGTTTGAGCATTCTTAAGCATTATGGTTTTCTTGGTTTGCACTTTCAACAAAAAAAATATCCACGCCCTCCAATCATTCAGTTAGGCCTCGTTTATGCATACCACTGATTTCCTCCGTCATCCGCCTTGCGTTTCACTTTTAAGTGGTAACACACTCTCGGACGTAGCAGTTTTTTCTCAATCTCCAATTCTGGCCGAAGGAAAACAAGCTTTCTTGAATACGCCTCATTGTGGGGACGTCCAAGGACAAAGACAGTTGCTACTCATGTGGGTGGAATGTTTCAATAAACGATCGGAAAGCGACAAAGCATCAGTTCAGGCATATGTAGTTCGGATAAACAGACACAGGAAGGTAGTCCGATACAGACAGGGTCCATGTGAGGCACCTCGTATAAAACAAGTTTAATCGCGCTTTGAGAGGTGGCACATCCGACAGATGGTTTCGCTCCGAAGTTTTACAGTATTTTCATCTCAGTCCGTTAATACAGTTCTGGCAAGTAGAATAAGTGTAGTATTTAAGCGCATTTTTGCGCTTGCGATTTCTAGAACAAGAATAAATCTATGGAGCTTTACACTTACCTATAGTGATTGGTCTTTACCACACGACACAAAACATCTGTCCTGGCAGCAGAGTAGCTTCACTATGAAAATGCTCGCAGGATATCTCCTTGAGTAAATCCATGCGAAGGTACAGTATTAAAAAACCGTTCCTGAAATTCGGAAATTTCCGAACTCAAAATTGACTGACACTGAAATAATGGTGTCGGAATCGGCGAACCTCAATAACTGTGTCGGTGTAAGCATGAAGTTAGAGGCTTTTTCTAACCTCATAGAATGCTTCACAGCAGTGCGTATGATCTGTGCCGCTAAGAAAGCTCAGACATTTCAACACTAGCGGCGATCCCTTCCACTCAAAGCTTACATAAAGAACAAGTGGCTCCAACTGTTATTATGGCTGCTACACTCGACAGTGTCAACATTCCAGTGGAATGAGACAGTGTTAAGTAGATACCATAGTCGCTTGTAGACAGGTATTTGGACTCAACGTAAACTACATCAGGTGATTGTCACATCCATCTTCTCACGAGTGGAGTAATACGAACGGTGATTGAAATGCCAAATGAAGGGTTCACCTAGTAAGTACTGCTGTCGGTGAATAATACGTGTACAGTTGAACCCTTCAATAAAGAACATCCGCGAGACCGAACAAAGCCATTCTATCTTTGAGAGCATCGTGTCTTAGGAAGCATAAACCTTCGACACTACAGCTACCATTTTTTGGTACATTTGTTGTGAATTGCATAATGGTGAAGGATGTTTCTACTTAAACTGTCCGTTTGTGCTGGAAGTGCAAACAATTGGTACTCGGTCCTTCCGTTTCCTCATTTTGTTCTGTTCTATGAGGATTTTGATCAAATGAATGGGCATTTCATCTCAGGCATTCAGGATTTGAGCATCTAAATGTTCCACAGGTTACATTTTTATAAACAGTTGTGGAATGTAACGGCTAAGGTGAGCATGGAATCATGCAATTCAATGCTTGCACGGAGACTTCCTATTTCGATTAGAGTTCAAGTTATGAGGTCAAAAACCGAGCTGTCGAAAAAGCAGAGCACCAATTTGAATCCAGGGTAGGATGCACCCCATTGTCCATCGTGCAGGCGCTGATTGGGCGAGGAAAAACCGTTTCTAAGCTACCGGATTGCCGGGGCGCACTAATGTTTCATGGCAACCACACTTAAGTATGTCGATCTGGATGACTGAAATGCCATCACTAAAGACAGCTGCTTCCGGCTTTTTAACACGAGTCGAATCGGCTTTACACAGTGAACATTACGGTAAATTGACTGCGATTCAGAGTTTTGGTCAACAAACTAGTGACGCTTGAGTGATTATGTAATGGCGCTTTTCCGCAAGGTCAACCTAAATCGATCGCTGAGTACCTGTGAGTAAACAATCCTCGTGGTACCAGAACATCATACTACAAGTTTGCCAGTTAAGAATCACGTTCCCAAAGCGAGCTCCAGATATCCTCACTTAAGAGCGTACAGTTACGCATAACTGGTACCAAGACGTCGAAAACAGTGGTCATGAGAACAATTTTCAGCTTAGTGATTTGTGGTCCAATCCTTAGCTGTGGTGAATAAAGATTAGATGAACAAACAGATTAAGAGAAATAACCCGTTACATGATGACGGACCGACCTCCCAAAAATATACGATTTGACACCGTTGACAGTAAGCGAAATAAGCGTGGGTTCTCATATGGTAAACTTTCAATAAACCATAAGTAATCCGGAAGGAGGAATAATCCACACGTTGTGTGAATCTTCCGTCTGAGTTGTCACCCAAGCAACCAGTCAGCAGAAGACCACGTGAACTGGATTCAGAATGAAAGCTGAGGGGCGCTGTTTCCAACATAACTGAGTTAACCACACTGCTGTTCAGGCACTCGAGGCCGAACGGCTAGGCGTTCAACACTGACCAGAAGAGTGCGGGTTCGGAACTTTTTGAGTTTCTCAAGATGTGCACTACTGATGATTCCCAACAAGGATGAAACAGCTGCTCCTATTTTCGGCATAGACTGACTCTACTTACAGGACGAAATCTTGACTGAAACTTTCAACTTTTGCAAACACGCCCAAGAGCTGTCTCAAGTTTCATGTCGATTGAAGCAGGCGAGGCATTGTTGAACATGCCACATCACATTCCAGCTGACTGCCACAACATACTTGCTTTATCAGGTGTCTGAGAGGAAGACAACTGTACACGAACAATACGGAAAAAATACGGACTTGAACACTTCCAACTCACTTTCAGTAGAGCTAGATAGGACCGCGTGGCAAAGTCTTTGGCTAACATATGTAGAGCACCACATATTCCTTCAACAATTTCTTCCAAACGAACACTTTGGACCATCGTCGCAAACGTTTGATAGGAGGTCGGATTGTTTGCAGAGGTACGCTGTACAAGTGGATAAAAACAACAGTATTATAGTCAACTTGAGATACAGGCCTATGAAGTATAACTCACGAGGCTGTCAAAATGTCATAAACGGCTACCATAAGGGCAATCTAATCCAATTTACGCAATACCTCATCACCATCATCATAACCGACAGCATGACATCAGCGTTCAACACTGATGCTTCACTGCCGTACAACCATGATTTATTTGAAAGCCTTATTGTAAAGAAAAGAGTAAAGGTGGACGGGGAAGGGACTTAGTGCTAGCTTACCACAATCATTCCGAGGTGCCTACACCTCCAGACATTCACTCAGGCAATCCGGATAGAAACTGAAAACAAGAGCGCCACTGACATCGGTTGGCAGCCATATCTTGCAGCGTCTCAAACCAGACGCAGCGAGGATCACGCGGTCCCCATTCTGGAAGGCGAGTAGCACCGGCAGTACCCGAATGTTTCGCGATTTCTTTCATATCCCTCTGCTAGGTTAAGATTGGGCCACCTCTCTGTTTACGCCACTCTCAGTTGGGCATGGAAAACAGCACTCTTCGGCAAACGATGGTTCGACATACACAACACATGTCCCAACCAAGGCAGCTTCTGGTGCTGGACACATTCTTCAACGGAAATACCCGTTACACAACCGAAAACGCGTTTTCTAACTGCCTCGTTACGGATACGCCGACACCAGTCCGCACGAGCTAAGGTTGAGACAACGATCGCCGAACACATGAAGGTGTTTCCGCTGCTCGAATAGGCAATCTCACAGCCATGCAACAAATCAACCCGCACTGTAGCTTGATACACACTTCAGTTGAGATTCCGGGATACACAACTTTGACGCCATAGTTGTCTCAAATTAGCGAACGCGACCCGAGCATTGCAGATTCGTGCATTCATCTCATCTGTCACAGTAAAATCAGAACTAATACAACTTCCAAACGCTCCACCACTACCAGCGCATCTCCCTGGATTGTGAATGGTGTGTTCAGTGACTGCATGCCCAGGAGTATGACCTTGCACCTTGTGGGTACGAAGTGCACACCAAAGGACGAGATGAATTTCGTCAGTTCATCCAAAAATACTAACGCCTTCTACTCCTCCTCGAAGATGAGAACGACATTGTCGGCATATTCCAGACCGACAGGGTTTTCTTCACAGGCTATTTGAACATCGGGGTTTTGGAGACCTCCCAGTGTTCGTCTCATGATTTCATCGATCACGAAGTTAAACAGGAATGGGGAGAGTGGGCATCCACGACGGACACCACATTGTGTACGGAAGCTTTTGGAGAGCTTTCCGTACACCCTCACACGTCGGGAAGTCTTGGTCGACACAACTCCTACCAGGCCGGAATCCCGCTTGCTCCTCTCGAGTCAGTGTTTAACGAGCCACCATAAGGCGATGAAGCACCAGTGATACCAAAAGTCTCGTTACGACCGGGATCAAGCTGATTCCCCTGTGGTTGCCTCACTCACTACGGCCCCCTTTTTTGAAGATGGACACCATCACCGACTCTCCCCAGTTCCCTGGGACAAACTCCTTTTCTCAAATGCAAGCAAACAGATCAGACAAGCGCTGACTGAGGACTTCACCCCCATCTTTGAACAATGCGGGCGGAAGGTCATCCAGACCAGAGGCTCGGTGGCGCTGAAGAGAACATATACAGTCATAAACCTCCGAGGCCGAAGGCGGTTCCACGTTCACCATCCAGGATCCTACGTTGCCTATGGGCTCCGGGTGGTTGTCAGCTGGTGGTCATGACAACTGTTGTTCGAAGCATGCGGCTCATCGGCCGAGGCATTCTTCTTTATTCGAGATAGTCACTCCCTCCCGATCCTTGGTTTTGCTCACAAATGCTTTCCGGGGGCCGGTCGCACGGATCAACTGAAATAGTCTTCTGACATTACCGGCTTTCTGGGTCTCTTCCACTTCTTTAGCATCCTGTATCCACCCCACTTCACGGTCGGTTTGAACGCTCGCCTTCACTTGACGTCTGATAATTCATCGCATCAAGTTGTGTTCGGGGCCGGCTGGGATACTTCTCCGAGATTTAGGCAATGTCACCGCTCGGTCTGATATCCAGTGCTTGGGTGCGCCTGATAGTGCGGTGCCACAGGCAAAATTCCCAACATTATGCAAAGAGGTGGCAATCTCGTCCTAGTATGAGTTCATATCTGATGGTGGAATCTTTGGAAGAGACTCTAGAACATGAACATGATTCTGGTAAGTTCATCTGACATCCGGATCTGCCAGTTTTTCAGTTGCCAGGCGATTCGTCCGCACCTTACGTGGCCCTGGAAAACGTAGGGAGAAGCGCCTCCGGATGAGCACATGGTCGGAATCCACAACTGTGTTCCAATACGACCGGCAGTCACTTATTGATTCGCACCATCGGTAGCTGATGGCAATGTGGTCGATTTGAGTTTGCGGTCGGTATGCCGTTGGAGGACACCATGTAGCCAGAGAACTTCGGCTATTTCGGAAATTAGCACTGCATAAAAACAGCCTGCGATCAATGCACAGCTTTGTCAATCGTTCCCCATTGTCTGTACGTACCTCCTAATTGAGCCTCAGGTATTCTAAGCCTGCCCACCTACGCATTCAAATCCCCACGATGTTTAAGCTCTTGGATTGCCGCAGCAGAGTATTCAGGGCCTTTGACAGCGTCGGAGCCACAGTCAGTTGGGGCGTAGGCGGACACGATAAACAGATATCTATCAACTTCCTACTTGTGAGACTCCTTCACACATGTTGCCAAACGAACCGCACAGAGACGACTATCAACAGATATTCAGTCAAGCAAGACTACTTCCGCCCGGCGACTTGGGACGATACCAACCTCTGCATATCCTGCCGCGGCAGCCCCTGGATCACCAGAGGTGCGCAGCCGGAAGCGAGTGGAGACTGATGGGACGGTTAGATCAATCACTATGCTTGCATCATGAATTCTTGTTTCTAAGACACAGCACACATCAATGCCAAGCGAGTCCAGTGTGAAAGCAAGAGCAGCTTGTTGTCCCGCTTGTTTGAGAGTGCGGACATTGAAGTCAGTCAGAGAGACTGGGTCTCGAGGCTTGAAGATCGATTTGGAGATACCTGAGGCTACCGATGCATGTGGCAAGCTGATGCTGCACGCAAAACCGATGCAAGACGAACGGAGTCATCAGTCCTAAGTGGTGGGCCTACAAGAGAAGAGTTAAGAATAGGGTGGAAAACGGGGAAGGAAAAGTATGTGAAAGAGAAAGAAGTGAGGCGTCAGCAGCTTTATGCAGCGAGTAAGGCGACCCGGCTGACGGCACCACGCGACAGCCGACGTGGCACGAGTGTGTTTGTGTATGTGTAGTTCATAGTTGTACGTGGGTTGTCATGGTACCCACCCCTAGACAAGAGGACGACTAGCGTCCTCAACCAAAGCATCTGGCTCAAAAGCCTAACCACAAGGCAGCGGTGTTTGGTGGGAAATGCAAATGCATTACCATTTCTACGGAACAAGTCTTCACATGTTCCAACCCCGAACTGGGAGGACCGGGGGACTGTGTTCGTCAGACCTCTAACCATTGACCAACCTGGTATCAGAGACTGTGTGGGTGTCGCCGGGACACCCGCCAGTATAGCTCAATGAGTCGCTGAGGTGCGAAAACCGTCACACCACGGTAAGGTTCCGTCTCTTCGTGACGCAACATATCACAATGGGCGTTTACGAACATCATTCTTTGCCACTACATAGTGATGAAACCTAAAGTGAGTAGAGCTTAACAACTAACGCACTACTCTCATATGACGAAGGCGGTTCGGCTTAATGACATTTTAATAATAGAGGAAGTAAAACGAATCATCATACAGCTTTTTCTAAACAAACTAACATAGTTGTGTGGCAGTCAAGTGCTGGTGTTACAACGTTGGAGTTGCTGTCAGTTATCGTGGTGGTTGACGACTGCATATCGGTAAGTGTAAAAAGAAAGCTAACCCTTAACCATCTTGCACGTTCAGCTGACACGATAGGGAGACAAAAATAACCAAGGTATAGAATGCAAAATTAATCAATAGGGTGATACTTCACCGGTACGGACTCCCAGCTGCAACGAGAGTTTGATCTAGGAACTAAGTAATATCGACTGCAGGAAAAGTTTCGTGCCAAATACTTAACCCGAGAAGTGATCGCCTTTATCACTAGGGGGCAATATCCCAGGTACTTGGTGTGGAGACCAGTGAATTCCTTAAAGCACCGTTCTTGGGGAGCACGACACCTCCCACAATGCCGAAAATACCATCTGTAAAGTAAGCATATCTAACCTAAGAGCCATTGAATGGTCCGGAAAGGGAATGGGAACTTCCAGTGAATGGTCCGGAAAGGGAATGGGAACTTCTAAAAGAGTCAAAACAGTTCATGCCTAAGGCTGTCTGCTTGCAGTGGTGGTCGAGCTTGAGTGCGGCAACGATTCTGAAGGCTACGCTGACTGACATTAGGTTCCTTAAGGTTCAACGATGCGAGGGTAAACCAAATAAGAGCAGTCAAGCGAAGAACAGTGAGTGCATCTACTGCAAGAAATCACACTACGTTGCGGCCTGGCGGTAAACGCAACAGTGCCTTTCTCTCTGGGCCCTCGAGACAGGCTACTCTCTGCAACCAAGTAGGTCAGACAATTGAGTGATTAGCTTCCGAAAAGGTCTCTCAAGAAATTCTAACTGGCCAGTGCTTTCCAGTTCGAAGCAACAGGTTTGCGGAAGGGTGCTGGAAAAAAATCCGACATCCTTCCATTGCCTTGTGGGTCAGACATTTGAATCTCAACAAAACCCTCTTCTTCAGCCTGTGTAACTTTTTAAGCAACAGCGCCTTCCTGCACGCCTCTCGAATGCCTTTCTCATACATTCAACTGTCAACCACCCGAAACTAAATAAAGAGCATCGTTAGACTGTAACTTCCTTTAAATACATATCTGTGATGCCATCAGAAGGAATAACGAAAGTTGAGATTCTGCCAAGTCTTCCAGGTCTA